CCTGTCTGATATAATCCAACGCCCTTCGTGGTATTAGCCAGGGGAGTAGTTGTTTTCTGATAGGCTTCAGTCCATTAAACCTACTGTGTAGGTTTAATGGAGGATATGGAGACTGGCCTGAACGTTTAAAGTTCATTTGCTTCAGATTTTTTAATATGAAATTACTTGTTCATTATATAGAAAACGAAGAAAATCGAGAATTTTATAAGGTGTTAGACGAAGCATCCTATGAAAAGAAAATCGTGGAAGAAAATGCAATTAGACGCTGAAGATTATGATTAGAATGTTTTTTACGTTTTTTTTGCTTACTATCTTATGTGTTAGTATTTTGTTTTGCCTTGTATAATAAAAATGTTCATTTGGGTTATCTATTACAGTCTATCCAATCTGTTCAAAACGGTGCTAATGAGGCAATAAGATGAGTGCCTTGTCCCGAAACTTCAAAGTACACCCTTGAAGGTCATGGTGCTCCGTATGGGTGGCATTTTATATCAAAACCCTCTCATATATGACATTGGCGTTCCTACGAATGGTGTTTGTTTCAATTCCATAACGATTGTTTGTAGAATTAACTGAATAGAAAAGAGTGATTTTCGTGTAAGTTGTTGTTGTAGTTGTTTGAAAAGGATATTTTACTTTCGTGTAATTCAAAGTTCATGTGAAAGTAGTTGTTTAGAAAGCTTTATTTGCAGATTGTATCTGAAAGAAACTTATGTGTATGCCGTGCACATCTCTATAAAATCATTTATTGTTGTTATTTTTTTCCTTTCTTTGGGAGTTTCCCATATTTTCTGTTTAATGATGGAAAAGTACTATAAAACCAAAAAACCGATGATACCTGTATTTTATAGATGCATTTATTGATATTTACTGATGTAGTGAATTCAAGTGATCGATTTCTGTAAATTATTTGTTGCATTTTTTCATTTTGAAGTTTCTCGAATTTCACTTCTAAAACTTGTATGTGTTTTTTATGGTAAACTTGTTTCTTTCAGTTGCCAACCTCTTTTCACACATCGGGACTAACGGTACTTTAAAAAAGTTTTACACTCCCTAGACTTCCATAAAGTTTCCTTCAGTTTTAAGTGTTTCGGACGAAAATATTTTCATCGATAGATTTTTCTTTTGGCAATATAGTTGCATGAATGTACTTTTGAGAACCCATTTTCGCAATACCTAATAAATGTTCTCGACATTAATTGNCAATTTGGTAATGAGGCGATAAGTCGCAAACATCATCAATTCAAAATAAGATAAACATTTGAAATTAATAAGTTGATATAATTGACTGAATTCTCT